AAATTTTTAAGAAATAAGTTATTTATGTATTATCTGAAGAAGATTTGTAATTTAATATTCATCAACTAGTATTTGTCTTTGAAAATATTCATAAGAATTTTGAATTTTATTATTTTTTTTATGGTGATTGTTTTTTTTTAAATAAATTTAACTATTAATTATGTTCTAATGATTTATTTTGCATATATAATGTTGATTTCTTTAAATTTCATGTAATATAACAAAGAATAATGATATAGCAAATAATAATTGTGAAATTTATAGAGTGAATATATAGAATTAAATTATTTATTTCAGAGAAAAATGTTTAGTAATATTGCAGATGGCTTTAGAATCAAAGAATAATAAACTAATAAGTCATGCCTTATATGGATTTCAAGTAAGATTACCATTATTTAATTAATTTTCAATTTTATTTTAATCAAATTTATAATATATGTATTCAGAGTTTAGGAAAATAAGTACGTCGTCTACATATCTAACATACATTATCATTTGCGCTTCATGTTGCCGCATTCAATGCAGTGTTGCCGAAGTATGAAGCGCAAATGATAATGTATGTTAGATATGTAGACGACGTACTTATTTTCTGGAACACTAAACCCAACGTACAGAACTTTATTCAGAGTTTATTATGATTATCTGATACAATACTGTTGAATTATTATTATTATTATTATTATTGTTATGTTGGGAATGTCATGCTCAGCTGATACTGATACCAAGTGCTATGCCAGACTAAAGTCAAAGTGTAGTTACCCAAACTAGTGTAACATTAAGCTGTGTTATTGGTATTTGGTATGTGTGTCAACGTCTAGAAACTTCCTAACAATGTGACATGTTCAATATTGTAGCTTTCTGTAGTGCCATGTATATGTTTTTATTCTAGACTTTTGTGTAATGTATATAGTATAACATCAGTAGAAGAGAAGAAACAGGTACAATAAATACCTTATCCATCCTCCTCATCTGACTTATTTCTTGAGCAAATGGAGTGTACTTGTTGATTTTTTTAGTGTGAGCATTTTTATGTTATGAGTATTTGGAGTGGAGATGTCTGTTATATAAGAAATCTTACTGCATTTGTTGATGAGTGTGATGTCAGGTCTATTGGCTTATCTGTGATTATGGTTTTGTTATAGTATATTTTGTTATAGTATATTTTGTGTGTCATTTTATAATACTCTCTGCTGAGTATATTTGTAGTATGGTACCTGGATGTTTATTAATCTGTGAGTAGTAGAGGTTTGACATATACTGATCACAAAGTTAATTTTTCAGATCACAAATGTTTAAAAAAAATAATAATAATAATAATTTTTAAAACAAAAATTTGTCAAGTAAATTAAAGCATTACAATTTTTGGAGGCTGGTATCTAGATATTTTAAAAAAATATATCCAATTGATATATTTTTTAAAAAATTTAAGATACCAGCCTCCAAAAATTGTAATGCTTTAATTTACTTGACAAATTTTTATTTTAAAAATTATTATTATTTTTAAACATTTGTGATCTGAAAAATTAATTTTAATTTTGTGATCAGTATGTGTCAAACCTCTACTGCTTCTATGCAAGATCTTGGCGTTATTATATTTGCTACTTGATTATGCTTATGTAAATAGTCTGTTTGTGCTAAGAGCTTGTAACCAGAGGTTGTATGTTGTATTGTTTCTGGCAGTGTATGACATTTTCTACAAGAGTCATTTGTGAATGATGTATCCTTTAGGATGTGTTTTCTGTAGTTTTAGTGTTTATGACCTGATCTTGAATGGCAACCATAAACCCCTCAGTCTCTCCAAACAGGCAGCCCCTAGTCAGCCAGTAATTTGATACAGTTTTGTCAACATAATCCTGAGCTAGGTCATAGGCGTTCTTGCCATGAAGTGCCTTTTGGGCTCATGATTGTATAGTGGTGTTTATGTTTTTGTGTGTTGAGCTTTGGCCAGGTGCTCAGAGTGTATGTAATCATCATGTTTCTTGTTTTTTGTAGAAAAACTTCTGCAGTGTCTGAATTTGTTTGTAGAGCAGGTTAACTATATTAGTAAGGCCACAGCCACTTTCTTTATGAGGAAGAGTTGGTCTTTCTACAGATGTCTTGGTGATATTGTTTATGCATTGTAAGTGTTGTTCTTGTTTTCCTTTGGAGTTGCTCAAGATCTGTGTGTATCCAGTGTATAACTTTAAAAGAATAAGTGAGTAAAGGGACAACATGGGTATTAATAGCTTTAAGCACAAGGCAGAATCAAAGAGGACTCAAGGAATTGCCTTGAAAAATTTTTTGCTTGATGTGTATTTGAGTTGTTTTTATGTGAGTATTATGGAGGTTATGATGTAATGTTGTTCTCCAAAGGAGCATGGTGGAGCCAAGGAAACTAATCAGTTGGGGATGGATTTTACAGATGCAAAGTGTGTACAGCTGCCAAGTGTGTAAGACATTGTTGAATGCTTTTCTGTAATCAATGTATGCCATGTGTGTTTCTGTGTTGCTTATGAACTTGCTGTAGGATAACAGAGTCAACGATTAATTGTTCTTCACAACCTTTGTGATTTCGATGGCAGCCTTTTTGTTTTGTAAGAATGTCATGTTCATCAATGTGATTGTTTGTTTTGTTTGCGATGCAAGAGGTAAGAATCTTGTAAAGTGTTGGAAGACAGGTAATTGGTTTATACTGTGTAGGATCTTTGGTGTTATTGTATTTTGGTTTCATGTAGGTGAAGCCCTGCATGAGAAAAATTGGCATGTCTTGTGGATTGTTGTTGATATGAGTTAAATGTTTAGATAGTTCCTGGTGTAGGGATGTGAATTTTTTATACCAGAAATTGCATATGTCCAGGTGTTGTCCAGTTGTGTGCTTTCTACATTGTGCAATGGATGTCTTGTATATTTATTTCAACACAATGCATACTAGGTGTGTCCTGCATGTCTTCACTCTCCTCTTTGGTCCAGTCTGCTTCAGCATTGTGCATGACGACAGTAGACCAATAATTTGTAAGTTCTTCTTCAATTGGCATGCCATTGTGTTGGGAATCAGTAGTGGATTTGGTATTAATTTACCTGTAGAAGAGTTTTTTATTATTTGTGAATAATTCATTTTGTTGTTTCCATACAGAGCAAATTTTGTATTGTTTGGTCAGATTTTGTTTGAATGTGGACATTGTGTTGTTCATGCTCTTGAAAAGTTTTTTTAGTTGTTTCATTAATTTAGATGTTTTGTTATTAGCATATTGTGTCAGCCTGCCTAACTGCTGTCTAATATTGTTTATGTTTCTATTCTTCTTTGCTAGGCATGCTTTTGAAGTGTTTTTGATCTGTGTGCTTCTGTCTGTGGATACAGTTTTAGTCCTTGGTAGGTCACTACTGTGACTTACCAAGGACTACACCTGTGTAAACTAATGTGTGAATGCCTGAGAATGTAGAAATGGAATGAGTGCAATCTGGTAATATGCAAGTGTTTACATGAGGAAGTATTTTCCGTACTAGTTTAGAAGTATTGATTTTGGGAATGTGTAGCCATTGTGCAGAGTCAGTGCCTGTAAATTTTGTGAGTGCTTTTTGGAAAAGAAGGGAGAGAGTATGAATTAAACTTGAATCTATTTCAGGCAGTGAAGTGTTGATGTCGGCATCAATGAAAATAGTGGTTGTAAGAACAGTATTGTCAGTGCATGTATCTTGATGATCCTGATGGATAATGTGGTTGTTTTTTGATGTTGGGAGTATTTGTTGGTATAATTGTTCTGCAGTTTGTTGTTTGATATGTTCTAGTGTTGTTTGTGGTATAAGATTATTATGTGAAATTGTTTTTTTTTTGATCAACAATCCTTTGTACACTGACAGTGAGATGAGGATATTGTTATGGGAACAAGTGATGTAACTGTTGTCTGTATGCTGTCATGTCTGTTTCAAGTTTTGTGATGGTGTAGTAAGTACGGATGATAAACTCGTTCATTTCTGATGTCCATTTCATCCATTGGCATGGTTTACCTGGCTTAATGGTCTGTGGTCTCGATTGTCTCAGAAACATCAAGGGTTGGCTGGTTTCTCAGAACTGTTGTGGACATTGCATACTTGGACCAGAGCTGCTTTCACCACTGGTGACCAAGGGAGATTATGACATATTTTTCGAACGTGAGCCTCTGCCTAACTTGCGAGCATGGATCTTGTTAACCCAGGCAAATCAGTATTACATTTGGGATCATGTTATTACCATCATTAGATCTCCATAGATGTGGGTTCAGTTACTCTTGGCTTTATTTCTCCCCACAGACCTCACTGGCATGAGTGACCTTAGCAGGACTGGCATAGCTCTGTGGTTCATTAGAATTACTGAGCTCTCTCACCACAGCAAGGTGGTAACTGACAAGAGAGTTTATTATTATTATGTGTTTTTCAATAGATTAAATTTTTTTTTAGAAACTTGTATGGGATAGTTTACATTCTCCATTTGAAACAGATGATGATGAAAAATGGCTACCTTGTCAATTACTGAAAGCAATTCCGTCTGTTTTACATTCATCTGAAGACACCCAAATTGAAATTTTAAAAGTAAGTTAACATTATAACTTTATTCTGTTTGATTAGAAATAAATTGAAGAATTTTTTGTTATGTGTAAATTATTAGATATATAATGTGGAACCTGCATTTTGAAGACACTGTTGGGATCAAAAAATTTAGAACAGATAGCAGCAGACATAAGTTAGGCATTTATTTAAAAAATATCATAAATTTCACAATACTCAGTGGGTTTTTTTTAAATAATCAATATACAGTTTTATTTTGTAAAAGAACATGATGAGAACAGAAAGCAGAAATGGCCAAAAAATTACAGAAATTACAAAGCTATTTTATATGATTAATTAATATATTTTGTCACTAGAAGTGTTAAATGCCATCTTGTAGTAAATTTAATAATTAGAAATAAAAGATTAATTAATTTTGAGAAATCTAGAAGAGATGTAACCTTGAATGGGATACAAAACTTTCTAAACTTTTCAAGTAGGATGTTTGCCAGTTTTTTCCAACATATGATTCATTTGATTCCTTCTGTTTATGTTAATCTTTCCTTCTCCAAAATTCTGGTTTCTTAATGCTTTTCTTCCATCATGCAAAGGAGAAATGTCAATCCTAATCATGAATATTTGATATTGAAATTGTCAGAATACTATCTTATGAAATGTGAAAAATCTCATCTGACAAATTTAAGGATACAAACAAATGTTATGAAACAATGAGTCTGATGCATGGTATATTTCAGTGTTTTTCAACCTTCTTGAATATGCCACCCCTTTACAAGTTAAAAAATTCTGGTGACCCCCAGGGCCATATTAAAACTATATCAGTGATTTTAAAAACTACATATTTAATTTTCTTTCTGTTGAGACCTAAATATCAATCAAAAATCAATTGTACTGTAAAATAAACAGGCACGGCCTTCTCACTGAAATTATAATTTTTTTTATTGTAGTGTAGGACCTACAAACACTTGTCTTTTTCTTTTACCTGTGACCCCCTGTGTAAGGCTTTGCGACCCCCCCTGGGGGTTGCGACCCACAGATTGAAAAATACTGGTATATTTTGAATGATATGTATGGGAAACAATCCATTTGTGTACTGTTCACGCAACAAAGACATTGGAGAATAGAAAAGATTTCAAAATTTTTGTCCATTGTCAGCAGAAGGCAATGTCCATTCAATCAAGAAAAAATACATCAATTGTCTTATTATGGGTAGGACCAGACATTTTGTCTGCTAAACCCAGGTTTTGCTGTATTAATATTTCCTTAAAATTTATCTATTAACTTTTGATGATAGTTTATAAAGGGATTACGAAAATTAAAAAAGGGATTTTATCTGTATTGCCAAACAATCTGCCAGATTATCCATTGGGCTATTTTTAGGCAAATAAATAATTAAATATAAATCAATTTGGCTAGAAGTAGGAAGTTACTCCACCATCTGAAGTAAATTTAATAATTAGAAAAAATTAATTTTAATTTAGAATATTCTGGAAAAAGAATTTGCTTAGAGTGGAACTTGAATCTGCAACTTTTACTTATCATGCATTGCCAGTTAGGCTATCCAGACCTCCATCTTATATTCATTTCCATAACAATTAATTAGTTAATTTAGATATAACTACTGTATTTACTTGTGTATAAGATGTGGTTTCTATTCATTTTTCACTGCTTCAAAAACCTAGATCATCCTGTATGTGTGAGCGAATGATTCTTTGCGTTTTTGCAATAATTTTTGTGAACTGTGTATAGTTCATGCTGCCATTATAGCAGGGTGCTATTGAGGTCAAGGTGAATTTTGTTTTTCAAAGAGATGATTCAAAAATAGTTGGTCACTTAGCAATGATTATAAATGTAGTTATTTCATATTTGTTAAATTGGTATTTTTAAAAAAGTTTTGCACATTCTGAATCATTAAAAATAAACTTTTTCCGGTCATGTGCATTATAATCTTTTGGTTTTTCTACGTGGGTATCAGGTGCATGGAAAAGCATTTCTCAAGAGCTGATAGCAAAGTCATTCAGGAAATACTGCATTTCAAATTCACTTGACAGATCAGAGGATGATGCTTTGTGGAGTGAGAGTGAAAAAGAGGAGAGTTGTAACGATGCTTCAGGGAGCGAGTCCAAGTAGACAAAAGATGATAGCATCAAGAAACCATGGTTGTTTGCCTTAATACGTGCATTTAATAATATTTTATTTGTGATTAAATGAAATAAATTTAGAATTGTATTAATAAATCTAATTTTCTTTATTTTGATCTTTAAAGTCACACGTAATCCTATATGCAAGTAAATACAGTATATTGGTTACTCTCACAGCACAGATGGGGATGATTTAGCATCCACAGCTCTCTACAACTCTCAACTGACTTATATGCTTTAATCTTGTAATTATTGTTTAACTCTGAGGATTTTATCATAATTTTTTAATAAAAAAGTGTTTTTTCGTACATAAAGCAATTAATATTAATCTAGCTTATCAGATATTTAGCACAATAATAGATATAAGCTTTTAAAGAGAACTTTTTTGTTAATTTATTCAATAGCATTGCTTCATTATGAATTTAAGTGTAAAATTTGAAACTTGCTACATTTTAAAACTACCAAACTTAACTTTTTTTTTACAAAATTAAATTAAAATTATTTTTAATGAAAAATATTGACATTAAATTAAATATATTCAAAATTATATTAATTTTTTTTGGAAAGAATATACAGTATAAAACCTTGTTATTTCGAAAGGGATAAAAATAACACAACTTTGGATAATTCAAACCCGGATAATTCAAACTTTTTTGATTTAAAGTTGCCATGAAACTTTGGGAAGTTGTTTAATATACTCCCACGAAGGTTTCTGGCATAGTACATTTATCCTAGATGGCGTGCATTTATGCGAGCATTTTATCGTGAGCATTTCAGCAGTTAGGAGTTGAAACTTGAAATTTGGTACACAGTTAAGCCAGATGCACGCATGCGGCGCGGCAAGGAAAAGCAGTGTCGCAAACGCATCTACGCTGCGCGGCAGCAATTCACTTACATTTCGGCACATGTGTTTAGTATTCAAGATGGCAAACGATACCTATATTGTTGCTAACCATGTGTTTACAAATTTTGTTTTGTACGGCTTGCTTTATTTAGTTAGAAGATTTTGTTGAAGATTTGAACGAATATTTTGGATTAGAGATATTATCTTGGATTGATAAAGAACTGGTGTACAAAATACGCTTATTCCTCGATAAAGAATACTATTTCGAATAAGATTCGGTTGTTTTGTTCTTTGAATTAAATTATATATGATTATTTGTGTTAAATTTATTATCTTTCCTCTTTATTCTGATGTTAGTTATCTCGGTTAACTGCGTTGAACTTTCCACCATTAAAACACCACGTGATCGTATTTTCTCACATGACTACCAGACGAACTGTTATTGGCTGATAGAAACGCGTCTTGGCAGCAGTTGCCGCAAAAGATAAAATTAAACCAACTTTTGCGGCACGAGAAAAGCAGCACAAAATCGAATTCTGTAGCGAGAAAAAGTGACGTCATCCTGCCGCTTTTCCTTGTCACGCCGCATATGTGCATCCGGCTTTAGGGTAAGTCACGAGATGGCACAATAACAAGGGATTTTTTGAAATCCCCCCACCTGCGCGGGGAAAGTGACAGGATTAAGGCTTCAACAATGGAAGTGTTAAGAGAAAGTGTTGTGCAAGATTAACAGATGCGGTTTTTTGTGTTAAATTGAACATAATTTTAGACCTATCTAAAAATTTTCTAATTAGTCTGGAAACAGGGAAACCTAATTCTTGCATTCTGTGAAAACAGGTAAGATTGGCTGTAATGTAATAATCTTAATCTTCGCTATCATTACTTTTTGTGCAAGCAATGCCGGGCTTATCTGCTAGTTCTTGAATAAAATTATGACATTATCTTATATAATTTCACCCATTTATTTACAAATGCATTAATATTATGAGTTATTACTTAATAATTTAAGCTATTTCAAAAAAAAAAAAAAAAAACTGTCAATTGACAGTTTTTTGAACTTAATGAAATAACAAAAACATAACCAAATTACATTCAAAGCAAGCCCTGAAAATAACATACGAAAGATGCTTAAGTGCTTCAATAACAATTACCGGAAATTTTGCCTAGAGGGTCAAAAACTAGTTCTATGAAAAATTCACCATCTTGAGTTTGAGATTACAAAAATCATGTAATCTGATGAAAACAACTCTATTAATGGCTAAAGCTATAAGAATGCATGCTATCATGAATACGCATGTGTATTTAGTGGACCTTGGAATTATTGAAACACTTGATTTTTGTGAAAAATGTCCAAAATAATTAAATGCCAAACAAATTTCTTCCATAAAAATAGAAAAAATTCTTTCTTTATTGGCAACATGTACAATGTCCAAATGATCTTGAACAGATGTCCAATAAATCAACAATGTATTATTGGTGAAACTGAAGTTGTCACTTGGGCATGGAAACTTTCTTAATATGATGGAAGATTTTGAATTAAATGATATTTTTGCATGTCACTGGACCAGATAATGACTTTGAAATTCATTGTTTGTGTATTTTGAATTATCCAAACTAAAATATAAGCAAAATCTTATTGCCTTAGCCATGGACTATACTTGACTTTGAATTATACAATATTGAAATAACAAGGTTTTACTGTATAAATTAATTTTTGATTTTGTAAATTTATGAATTTAACAATAACAATATTTAAATTTATTTCAGATTTTATTGCAGTTAGCTGGTACGAGCAGCTGGCATTTAAGCACTAATTTTGTACTCAAACTGATTTCATTATGCATTGAATTGTGTTCAAATGATAGTTCTGAAGTCAGAACAGCTGCAGTGGCTACAGCCAGTCAAACGATACAATTTTTTTGTACAGTAGCTCAAGAATCTGAAGTTGGAGAGGAAGTATGCTTTTGCTACATATAGTTTTATGTNGATACTTTAAAGTTTTTGATTTCTAAATAAAAAATGAATTTTCCTATATGTTATCTATTTATGAAATGCATACAAGTATTTCTCAACTTCTACAAAAAATATATGAACAATGTTACTGAGAGAGAGTATGCGACAAATAAAAATATATTTAATAAAATTAGACCAGAATATTCAGAAAATTAGCAGAATATTCAGAAATTATTTTTTAGAATATGTTTAAATTAATGTATAAAAGAAATAGAAAAATGTTGTTTGTTGTTTATATCCAAAAACAAACAACACATACACAAATCAAGTTGGCTTTCTGTTTTTGATATGTTTGTTCTGAATACATGAACTACTCATGTTAATATGGTTATCTGAAAGAATGTTAATTCACTAAATTTTTTTATAAAATAAATCTTTCTAAGATATTAAATATTTTGAAAATTTCATAATATAAAGAAGTTTAGAATATTTGTGAATATTATCAATGCTATTTTTAATCATGAATTTTCAAAACTTACTTTTAGAATTTTATAGAATTTATTTTGAAAATTAAATTACCAAATAAGGATAATTTATTTTAAATAATGAGTAATAAAATTTAAAATAATAAGCCTTCTAACATATCTTTATAGTATCTTAGTACTTAAAATAAATATTTGGCAATAATGAATAAGTTTAAGGAATCTGAAAATAATTTTTTTTCTTCTTGTCTTAAATTTTCAGAATATAACTTAATGGATGGTGTTGTTGAGGAAGTAATACCTATTTTGGAATTTTTATATGAAAAACTTAAGAATTGTAATAGGTAAATATGTTTTAAATTTTCAGTTACATTAAAACTTAAAGCATTATTAATTGGACAAATTACAGTAAAGTATTGTAAGCATTTTAAATAAAAATGGAACAAAATACCTGAAACGAGTTAATAATTTGAATGCTATGTATTTGGAAAATCAAATAATTATTGCTTTGTATAATATGTGTTGATATGAAAAATATTTTGATTAACTTTTAATTTTGATTTAACTTATGTTTATTGTGTTGCATATTGGTCCCCCTATAGTTACTTTTTGTAATTTATAATTTTATTTATCAATTTTTCATTTAATTCCTTGACTGAAAGAGAAACTTTATAAAATTAATTTTTTGCTATGTTTTTTTTTAATTACTATTTTTAAATTCATATACTTCTTAGTAAAAGGATTTTATTATTAGTTTTTGTAACTGAAACTTTAACTTGCAATTTTACAAAGATTTAAACTATTAGAAAAATTATGATTGTAAATATATAACGTATATAAGTGAAGTTGGAGAGATTGTAAGCAAAGATGCAATGACTAGAATTATAAAAGATTTTAAAATTTTAAATAAATAAAAATTCAGTATGTTCTAAAAACTAATGTAATGGCATTTTTTTACTTAATAATTCATTGGACCATTTCACAAACATATATTGTATTTTTTTACAATGTAAATTCTTTTGTTTTTTGCATTAATATGACTGATTAGTAGCAACTTTTTTCTTTATGAATATAATACTATCAATTCATTTTATACTATAATATTTTCTTGTATGATTATTTTTCTCTAACACACATTTTAATCAGAAATTTACACATTTATTTATAATTCTTTTGACAAATATTGATAATAAGGAAAATCATAATTATGGATAAAAATAAAATATTAATGGTTGTATAAGTTCATAAGTTTGTGCTTTGAATTTAAATTTTATTGAATTGATATTTATTAAAATATAAAAATGAGTGTGCATATCACTTAAAAATGTAAATAAAAATAATTAAATATATAAAAAATCTAATGATTTTCAGTAATAAAAAGAGATTGTATCCATATTTTGTAATAATGTATTACATAATATATTTTAAGTGCATTTTTAAAATTTTTTTGTCACAAATGTATTTGAATTAATCAATTAACATTTTGCTATAAATTTATTATATTATAAAAAATATACTTGACTACCAAAGATTATTTTAAAAAACAGCTGTAATAAATGAATAATAATATTTAATAAAATATGAATAAATACATTATTATTAAAATATTGATTGATTAAATAATATTTTTAGATTAAAATACTTCTAATATGATAAATATGATAATATGATATATTTTTGTTTTCAGTTCTCAAAATAAATATTTGCCATCATTTCTTCTTCAGTGCCTACTATCTTCTGTTTCCAGTTTAAAATTGGAAGTACATAAGAGTCAAATATTTTTGGAATTTTTATGGTATGTAGCCAACAAAATTTTTACAGAAATTAAAAAATATAGTAAACTTTATTTAATTAAGTTGGTTGTTACTAACATGCAATGCAGTTTTTGAAATAGTGGTCTCTCAGTTTATATGGTTTTAGACTAATGAGATTTTAATCTTGATCCCAATTTTTTTCTGCTTCTACCAAACATTGTAAGTTAGTTAATGAAAGCAATTAGCTTTATATAAGATCAAATTGGAAACTATCTTAGATTTTCTGAGAAAATTGTTATTTATACTACTATTAATTAATCAAAATATTCATGAAACATAACTTTCATCTATTTTCAAATCAATGGAAGTTATGCTTTTACTATAGTAGATGTGACAAATGAAAAACAGATTAAAATAAATACAGTGGTACCTCATACTTCATTCCAGGTGGCCATTTGAACTCTGAATCATTTGGAGTCTGAAGCAGTTTTTCCCATTAGAAACAATGGAAAATGAATTCATCCATTCCCAAACCCTAAACAATATCCATTTCAATAAACTTAAAATGGCAAATACAATAATTTAAGGTAAAAATAACACAATTAAATGCCATAATAATAAATTAAAACATGAAACAATAAATAAATTATGTAAATAATGTATAATAAAATAAAAATTACATTTACTGGTTGCACACTGCCAACTTTGGCATCTTAAACATGGCTGCCAGATTCACCACGAATATAGCTTTCATGCTTTGTGATAAGTTCCCTTTTCATCTTAGACTTTTTCAAGCCTTCCTTTTACTAGTTAGACTTCATTGCTTTTACACACTTCTTGGATGACATGATTAATAAGTAAAGGTTATATTGAGTTAAACAGAAAGCTTTTGTGTATTTTTAACAGTGTTTTAACTTTTTTAGGTACTGTTTAGGAACAGTACCTAAAAAAGATGTGTGATTTAATTATAGCAGTTGTAAATTTTAGCACGTTATTGCTAATTTGAAATTATATTCTTTGTCCAGAAACTTATTTTACACTTCCAGTGCATTTTTGATTCCACATGCAGTTTGAACTTTGAAGCATTGTTTGAACACTAAAGTGAATTTTAGTTGAATTTGGCATGTGAACTCTGAAGCATTTGAAGTATGAGGTACCACTGTATTTAATTAAAACAAAAACCAAATACTTAATTTATTAGTATGGTAAATAAAATATTACAGAATTGATTTAAGTATCACCTAATCTGTCAAATGGGATTATGTCATTCTTAATCTGAATTGTTTAATTCAGTATGCATGATTCAAAATTTTATAACATTTAGAAATAAAAAATTTAGTATAGACATCATATGATTGTTTATTATGCAAATTTGCATTTCCAGATTTGAATGCTACAAAAACTTGCTGTAATTTATATAAAAGTTAATCACTGATAAAGATGTATTTACCCTTTAATTTTACAATTTTAACAATAGTTTATTACAGTAGAGCGTCGATTATCCAAATCAATTGGGGACTGGGGTTGTTNTGTTTTAATTCTATTAATTCATCGTTAAATCGAATTCTAAAGCTGTATGCAAATTAAAGTTAATGGAGTTCTGTTTAAAATCGCCTTAATCATATTTAAATATATGTTCATAATAATTAAAGGAAATGCTTGTAATTATCTTCGCCTTAATAAATTTAAATTGTCCTTATCGTGCATAAAAGTTAAATTTAAGCGATTTAATTTTAAAAAAATCCAAACTTTGAAAGCTAAAATATACAGGAATTTATTTATTTATTTTTTACTCTTCCCTTCTTGTGGGCACTAATAAGGCCTTTTAATCATATCAATTACGAGTCTGGCCAGGCCCATAATGAGGTGGCTGAAGCCCGACATATCCGGGGCAGACAACCACCGAAAAATTCATGGATTTTTCGACCTCCCAAATTTAAATTCTGGTCCTCCAGAATGGTAGGTCAACTTGAGGTTATTACTAGCAACGTAAATTACTACAATAGAAATTCGTTAATTCGGCTTTCGAAAAGCCAACACCACTCTAGTTCAGAGATGCCGTATTAACGAACTCTTACTGTGCATCTAGAACATTAAATACACTATATTTAGCGTATATCTATACCCTATAAACAAAATATCTGTTTATAACTATCCTAAGTTATATATATACAATCTAAATCTAAACTCTACGCCAAATAAATCTAGAGACTTATTTAATAATATAACCTCAAAATGAACCATTAATGGATATAATATAAACTACAATTTTAAAATTAAAAAAAAATTATTCTAGAAACATAGGTAGTCCTCTGTTATATGTGAGAAAAAAAATCAGAAATTTAAACGATTTAAAAGACGATTGGTCGATGAAGGCGGAGTTAAGCGAATCTCCTCCCATTTTTTACTCTCTTAACCAATCGTTGCTTAGATATTTAAATTTCAAATAATTTTTAAAAGATATTTATTCATGAGCGGCCTATATTTAATTTTACGTAATTTTTTCTTCTATTATTAAAACCCAATTTTATAAATGAAGGCGGAGTTAAGCGAATCTCCTCCCATTTTTTACTCTCTTAACCAATCGTTGCTTAGATATTTAAATTTCATATAATTTTTAAAAGATATTTTAAAACTATTAGTAAAATACAATATCACAAATTAGAAATTATATGTATGAGGGTAGGCTGAAAAGTAATGCACACATGCTTGTAGAGTGCGGACGAAATGATTTTCAGAAGCCTACCAGGTGTCATATGAAAGTAACATTCCCCCCTCTATGTGCATGCTCAGTTTGAAGTTGTTGCGTTCATTCAGTATATTTTGAGAAGTAGAAATATGGAAACGTGTTCTAGTGCTATGTCAATGCGAGTTAAACAGCGTACTGTTATCGAATTTTTAACTGCTGAAAAAGTGACTCCTACTGAGATTCATCATCGTTTAAAGGCTGTTTATGATGACAATGCTGTTGATAGGTCTACTGTAAATCAATGGATAATAAAATTTCGTGGTTGCGAGCCTGGAAAAGCCATAATTGTTGATAAAACATGCAGCGGACATCTGATCACTGCCACAGATGATTACCGTTGCCCCTTGTTGCAATGTTTAATTCTTCTCAGTACATTCAGACTCTAAAACATCTCCGATGTTGAGTTTGTCATGTTAGAGGCAGCCTGGCACCAATAATCTTGCAACATGACAACGCTCATCCACACACCTCACGTGTAACTGCAAAACCTGAAGTTTGAACCAATTCCACACCCTCCTTATTCTCCTGATCTTGCGCCTTGTGATTTTTATTTTTTTCCTCTACTCAGGAGAGACCTCAAGGGTAATCATTACATCTCGGACGATGAGGTGAAGGCAGCTGTCAAGTCCTGGATTTGAGAAAAGTCAGAAGAATTTTTCAGTGACGGAGTGAAAAAACTTGTTACACATTGTGAGAAATGTGTTAGCCTTAACGGTGACTATGTTGAAAAATAAATATATGATTTTGAAGCTTAAGAATTGTACTTTAATGTACTTTTTGCCCAATCTTGCTATTTGTTTTTGTTTGTGTTTTACAAGCATGTGTGCATTACTTTTCAGCCTACCCATGTATACCTACTTATGTTAGAAACTAATTAATAAAAAATTTGCTCTGTAGGAAGGTTTCCTATGAGATTTTGAAAATACAGTAGAGTCCCGTACAATACGGGGAATTCGTTATGCATTATAGGAAATCGCATTATTGAAACTTGCATTATCACACAATTTATGAAAGTTTAAATCTTGGCCTATAAGTTGAAAAAAGTATACCTCTGATTGACAAAATTTGAGGATGTTTCTTGCTTTATTTGCGGGTTGTACGAGACTCTACTGTACTTCACTTTATGAGGTGGTATCCAAAATAATCTAGACTAATGCTATGAAAATTTGAAAACTTACTTTAACTTCTATTGCCCACCATCATCCTTGAAATAGTTCCCTTGTAATTTCCCATAATGATTCTGGCATTTTTATGACTGGAATACTCTTTGTAAGTCATTGATATGTAGTAGGTTCAGCTCTGTCTGCTAATTCCTCTGAATATCCTCAATTGTGCCAAAATAGTGCTTTTCAATTTCATTTTAGTTTTCAGGAACAATATAAAGTTACAGGGAGCCAAATCTGGCAAGTAAGGAGAGGGATGACAACCATGTTGTTGGCTAAAAATGTTTGGGTGTTCAGTGCTGAGTAAGCTGGAGTATTGTCATGGTGAAGCAGGAAGTTGAGGTTGAGGTATTCAATTTCATCACAAATATCATAAATGGTTCAACATCAATCTGCCAAATGAGCTGCTGAATTTTTACAAACTTTTCAGGAGTTATACTGGTCAATTGTCTCCCAGTGTGTTTGTCATTTTCAACTGATGTTTGACTGGTCTTAAATCTTTCATGCCACTGAAAAACCTGTATCTGACTAAGAGATTGTTTACCATAATGCTTGCCAAATCATTTTCAGAATCTCTGAAAATGATTTGGCAAGCATTATGGTTTTCTAAGCTTTGCACAGAATTTTATACAAACTCATTCTTCCTTCAGATTCATTTTCAAAATTGCCAGATACCACATAATGACAATAAACAAACATTTTACAACTACAAATTCCTTGTCATTTGACTTACTTACAATGTATGTGTGCATTATCACCTAAACTGCAGTTCTACAACAAGTTTTGCTTTAGTGTTGTCAGTCCAGAATATTTTGGATACCACTTTGTATTGAATGTCATTGATTTCATTAAGTATGAGTTTTCAATTCATTTTAATTTTAGTATTGCAGGTCAGCTTGTTCGATTAGTAGGAAGTGTTGGTTCTTTACGTCCTGTTTTGGAATCTTTATTTCATCGTATGTTATTATACCCTCCTCTTGAACATCGGACTGAAGCTTTAAAAGCAATGAAAGAGGTCTGTGAATTATAAATACAAATAACATTTTTTTAATTTAAAAATGTATTACAATCAAGTGATAATCATTTTTTTTTGCAAATTTATTTAAATTTTAAAATATTAGTACTAATTAAGTAATTTTTATTTTTAATAAAATTATTTTATTTATGGAATTATTTTATATTATTAAAACTTCTAACTCAATAACAAAAAAATCAGGAAAACCACCATTCACTTGAAAAGAAATTGTTTATGTTCATTTTTAAAAGGACAATAATTTTTGCATGCCACCATAACCCTAATTCAAGCAGTTGATATGAAGTATATTGTAAAACAAGCTCATAGAAAAGTTGTTTCTTACTAGCTCAACAGATGGCAGTACTGGTAGTTAGTAAACACTGCTTGACATAGGATCCATTGAAAGAAATCTGATTTCAAGCAGTGCTCAACATTGGACTGGAAATGACATTTTACATTGTCAAGCAGTTCTTGACATAAGTTAATAAACTAGTTAGAAATTATTAATTTATTCTTTACGTTTTTAAATTTAAATAGACTTTTTCACAAGATTAATTAATACAGTAGAGCTTTGTTTATCCGAATCAATTGGGGACTGGGGTTGTTCAGATAACTTGTTTTTCGGATAACCAATTATGTACGAAAAAATATATTAATTTATGCTGTGTTGAAATTTTTCTCCATTGCGTGTCGCTTCGCGTTGAGTTTTCGTTGATGTTAAGCCTAACGAAGACTATTGTATCGTTAAAAATTATTTTTTTATTTTGTACAAACAAAATAAATATATTGAAAAATATAAAAACAATAAAAAATTATACTTCAGAAGTTAATTTAGTATCAAAAACGTAAAATATTTGAGTAGCCGAAGACATAGCCAAAGATTGCAGTGCCACAGCACTGGCGAAAATTTAAATTTGTCAACTGGAATTCCTTCGGATAACCGACCTTCGGATAAACGACGCTCTACTGTAGTTCTGTTTTAGTTTTAAACATTTTAATATAAATTTTGATTTATTATGTAAATAAGTAAGTCAGCATTTATCTTATTTCAGAATATGCTTGATAAAATTATTAAAATGTAATATTATCTTTAAAAGCTTTTGATCATTATGTTGTTTAATGATTATTCTATCTTTAATTACAATAATTCTGTAGTTGGATAATTTACTTTAAATTATTTCTTTTTAGTTGATGAAGAAACCAAGCAATGTTCTTCAGTTTGCTGGACCATCTTTGTGTGATGACGATAAAATTACTAGATCTGCAGATCTTGATTTGATGAGGATGTATGTATTTAAATTCTATTTATTATGTGTAATTATATAGATGCAATTAAATTTTCGGAATTGAAAATTGATTTAGAAAGAGAATTTTGTTTAATTAATAAAAATAGAATTTTCATTGAAATATTCTTTGAACAGTAATCATCATTACACCATTATATTCTGAAACCATTATCGGTAGTATATTACAATTCAGTCTTAAATATTTTTAGTATTGATTTTAAATAAAAATTGTTTGAGCTTGATATTATAAGTAAAATTTTTTAATTTAAAATGTTTTTATAACTGTTATTATTTAGATATACTGTATAGGTCACTACTGATAATGTCTTTAATTTTCTACATTACTTCTATGATTTGACTAATTTTTAATTTTCAATTAATTTTATATTGACAGTGCTTCAAGTAGAGAAAATATTTTATTTTTAACAAAAAATCATGCATAATAAAATTCCACATACACTTTAGATAATGGTTTCAGAATAAAATAGTTTAATGAATAGTAATTATTAAAAATTATGTTTTAAATATAATTTTTTGATATAGTATCATATTTATTAGTTTGATGGATAGCCTTAGAGAATGTTGTCATAGCAATGACAATGCTGTATGCTATGCAAGTGTTTCATGTATGGTAGCAATTCTCACTAGTTTACAAAGTATTACCAGTGGAAAAGATGTTAGTGAAGAATATGCTCAACTTATAAATAACATGTTTAAAACATTAGAAGATGCTGATTTCAAAGGTAAGTTTTTTATTATTTTATTAATGTTTCTTATTTTTTATCACCAGTTTTAGAATAAATTAAAGCTAATTAATATATAATAAGTATATTTTTATTACTCTATTATATACTATTATATTAAATTTATAGAAGCATAAAACACTTATATTTGACATTTAAATATTTAACATCAATTCTCTTATGTATTTTATTTGAAATATAAATAATTACCTTTTATATTTTATAATTAAAGCAGTGTGAAAAGTTTCAATATCTTATAAAGAAAATTGTATATTCTAAAGTCATTTTTTTAATCTCAACTCCATCTTGTATTAACATGTTCTTTACTTTTCTGTCTCTCTTATGATTGCCATTTCTTCAAAGTTTTTTTGCAAGAAATTAGACAAAAATGTTCAGTTTCTTGAAAAGAAATTTTATGTTATGTTACTCAAAAAATTGAATTATTGTAAATCCAAAATTTGTTTAAGTTTTCTTTTTGGAAAAAAAATATATATATCATTATTATATTATCTATTAGAAAGAAAGAACAAATAAATAATATTAATGGAATAATAAATAACTGATGATAAATGGATTTTTTTTTAAATATAGAAATTGCATTTAAATTATCTAAAACCTTTATTATTTTAATTAACAAAATTGATAAAAGTATAAATATCTATAATTAGGGCTTATCATATCAACTAGTAACCAATTATGCATTTTTACACTTTTTTATTTTTCACTGTATCATACACAATAAAAAATTTTTTTGCTAAAATGCACTTTGGATTTAAAAACTGCTTTTTAGTCAGCAACTTTTTTGAAGTTAATATGTAAACAGAAAAATCTGACACCAATAATTTAAAATTCTATCGTACACAATAAAATTTCTTTATTGCATGTGATAGACAGTAAAAAATTTAAAAAAAAACTGAATGAATAACAAAGTTCCAAGGATAAATTTTTTGATTAAATCAAATTTTTGACCTTACAAATAATTTTAGGTTAGTTTAAAATCCTTTTTTAATATTGCAGCTAGAGACAGATGGTTAACAACTTTAAAACCGACAACATGATATTAAAAAAAAACAATATACAATTGATGCCAATCTTTTCTTGGAAGATTCAACGTCAACAACACAACATTAAAAATTCTTCACAATATCACTCAGGTACAAATCAGTTGTATTTATACACATCTGCAGACCTCTGGTGGAAAACTAGATCATCATAATTAGCATATCTGCATGAAATAGCTGAAATATTAAAAAAGGATTTTAAACTGACCTAAAATTATTTGTTTGGTCAAAATTTGATTTAATTAAAAAAAACTGTAAAATGCAGTTAATGCAAGAAGAAATGTGTGTAGCATAGTATTTATTTAACATGTAATCTATATCATATTTTTTTAGCTTTGTTTGGAATGTGTGATCTTCAGCTGTCAAGTAGAACATATTTTTTTGTCTGGGTAAAGAGTAGAGAACTTTTTTAATTTAAAATGTTTTTATAACTGTTATTATTTAGATATTCTGTACAGGTCACTATTGATAATGTCTTTAATTTTTTAACTGAGTCATAGGATAGTGTCATTGATGATTTGTTGGATTATGTGATATTAAAAATGTGTTTCCATTGAAGATAAGCCAAAAAGACCACAAAAATGTTTAGGATTTAATTTTTGAAAGAAATATTTCAATAAATATTTGGTAGTAGTTATATCCCAATTAATTAGAAAATGAGTTTGTACATAGATATTCAAGCAGTAATTATGTTTTGTAAAAATATAATTATAAATAATGTCTATATATTATTTGATTTTTCAAAAAATATTGTTTATGAAAGAATATATACTTTCACAAAAAAATATAAAAATACAGCTTTCTTTGGATTTAGCCAAATTATTAGAATGTCAGCTTCATATAACATCAAATTGTTTTATTGAAGTAAATATGAAATATAGCTAAGTAATCCAATTTTTTTTTGGAGCCAAAGTCTCAACTATATTTTACTCTAATCAAGAATTACAAAAGCTTTACTGTTTCAAAATCTTAAGAATTGTTTGAATTGCTTTTGCTAGGTTTTATTTTAAACTTACATTCTATTTTTTAAATACTTTCAGCTGTTATAAAAGTTATTTACTGTAATATATTATTGACTCTTGTTAGAAGTAAGTTATTGAGCCACAGTCAAGCCTTAACTTTATGAGAGATTTTCAAAAAACCAATTTAATTCCAATTGATCTTGTGAAATAACATGCTATTTTTCATAACAAACTATTTGATGCAACTTTATCACATTCTCTCTAATGAACTGTTTTCTCTTAATATAAGTATTAAGATTTTGCAATATAAAATGTTGATTTATGAAAAGATTTTTAAAACTGAGTTATCAAATAAAAAAGAAGGAAACAGCATTTCTGTTTAAAAATAGCAAAACTATATCCTACTTATAAGATTTATAAGGCTACTAATATGACTTTAAAAGTATTTACTATACTACAAGTACATATAATATTTTATATAATCTTATTTTATTAATGAGATTTTATTACATTCTGGCTTCATATATACAGTAGAGCATTGATTATCTGAATCAATTGGGGACTGGGGTTGTTCAGAAAATTGATTTTTTGGATAACCGAATATGTATGAAAAAATATATTAACCTATCTCATGTTGAAATTTGTTCAAATCCTGGCATGTCCTTAAGTACCCTCTCATGGTTGCGCCAGTGCTGTCAGCTAAAACACGCACACCAACAAAAATAATATTCGAGTAGCTTAAGACAGCCAAAGATTGCAGCACCACAGCACTAGCAGAAATTTAAATTTGCCGACTGGAAAGCTTTCGGTTAATTGATGTTTTGGTTGTTCGATATTCGGATAATTGATGCTCTACTGTATATGTATTTATTTTAATTTTTATATTATTAGTATTTAATAAGAAATTGTTATTAAAATAAAATAATTTAATTTCTTTTTTGGAAGGCGTTCAAAGTGCTGAATATTGGCATAAAAAAATTGAAAATTATAATTCTGCTGAAAAATCAGATATAACTTTTGTTGATTCCAATTGTAATGAAGAACTTGAAATAAATGGTAATATTGAACATCCTACAGTAAATACAGAAGATAATAGTGAAGAAGTTACATCTAATCTGAAAGAAGAAAATGAAAATAGTGAAAATAATAATACAGTTGAAATAGAATCTGAGGAAACAGGTGAAATAACAAAAGTGGAAATTATTGATGATGAGAATTTTGAAGAATTTGTAAAGCAAGATGATAACTCAGATAATCTTGAACACATCAGTTCCGAATGTGAAAATATAACTGATGATATACAGAAAGAACTCCATGAAAGTTGTTCATCAACTACAACAGAAGGACCTGAAGAAGGATTTGATGATGATGTAAGTAATATATTGTGTATATATATGTGTGTGTGTGTGTGTGTGTGTGTGTGTGTGTGTGTGTGTGTGTTAAGATAAAACTTAAGCTAATAAGATTTTTCAGTTATTACTTGAACATATGATTGAAAAAGATTTATTATATACTTAATGATCTTGAATATAATCATAAACATTACATTATTAAGTTTAATATTGAATTTTTTAAAATGTTGATTTAAGAGTACTGAACTTGATAATGAACTTGAGGAAAAACAAAGGATATTGGCTGAAGAAGAAGCTGCTAGAAGAGAAAAAGTTCCTCGTACTCTCTTGGGAAAAGAAGATGCAGGAAAGACTGAACGTGAAAGGGTAGAACGTCTATGTGAAGCTCGTATAGAATTTGCACAGAAAGAAAGAAGTAACGCCAGGAAATTTGTAAAAGCTTTGAAAAATCTTCTTCCTGATATCCTGTCTATTCGCAGTTCAATTGAAGCTGATCAAGCAATTCAGGAATTTTCTTCAAAATATTGTGAAGGTTATAATTATTTATTTCTTAATATTATAATTACTTAATATGATGATAAAGTTTATATGAAAAATTCAATAACTATTTAATTAACTTATATATTATCTTTAATTTTTTAATAGCTTCTAAGTACTGTAACGAAAAAGAATCCTTATTTATTTCTACATTAATGATCATTAATTGGAGGTGCCTTAATATAAACAGTTTTATATTAAAAATGTCTCATTAAATTTTATATGTTAATGCTAGTCCCATTCAAATATTGCATTTTGTCATTTTAATTTCACATTATTAATTTTTTTTCTGCATTTCATTTTGTAATTTGATCGTTTTCATAATAATATTTTATACATTATAAAGTTATATTATTTTATAAACACATTATCTAGTAATTCTTTATATTTATGTTTATAGAAATGTTTTCTAAGTAAATATGATTAACAATAAACAAATTACTTTCAAATGCAGACTCTTGGAAACTTCAACATGATGAAAATGATACAAATGATGATCCATATATTACTATAATAAATGCTGATGGAATTTACCTTGCTACATATTCATCTTTGTTACTGAATTTGAAACTTTTGCTCATTAACTATTATAATGAACCTTTAAAAGTACCACCATTAACAGAGGTATGTGATAAGCTTTAATGTTAAGTAATTTTTATTATTATAATGTTCAGATAAATTAATGGCAACAAATTTTTTAGTATTGTTGTTTTGATATTGACAAATCAATTCATCCACTTATTTTGTTGAGGAAACTTCTTTCTATAACGTAAAGATTATAATGATATATTTTGATAGCTAATACATACAATTTAACAAATTACTATTTGTCTGAAAATATCAAAAACTATTTGAACTTGAATTGTTTCTTTATTTCTTATGTACTGTTTAACAGCATAAGACAATTTAACAATGCATATTTTTATTTTATTTAAATAAATTTCTAATTAAAATATATAGATATGTGTGATAGAAACATTAGATTATGTTAATTTGATATTGATTTTAAGTGATAAAAATAATATTTTCTTAGTTGAATATAAACTTAAGGATGTATTCTTACTTACTGTAAAGATACTGAAAATATTCTGATATTTTTAAATGCTTAAGTGTTGCTAAAAGTAGTTATGAAGAAATGTAAAAATAATCTTAATTTTTAAATATTTTTGGATGCAGATTAAACTTACTTACTATTTTTATAAATAATTGGACAAAAGATCAGAATGTCATAGAATTTTCCAAATTAATACAAATTTACTAATTTGACTTGTAGATTCATATAAGCAAAACAAAATGAATAAACTTTAATAGAAAATTTTTTGTTAAAACTATTATTGTTGCTGTTTTTATATTACAATCCAAAAGATTTTTGAATTCCAATAATATGTAGAGAAATGCAAATGTATATGTAGAATTTGTATTTATTTTGAAATAAATTTTGCTGAATTTACAGTGATTCTTTTAATGTACTTCATGAAATTTTGAGCTTAGCTTACAGCTTCTTAACTGTTGAATGCTGAAAAATGAAACCAGTTATTGATAAAACAACTTTTGCTTCATTTTGAAAAATTTCAAAGGACGTATTTACTTTAGCAAAAAAAATATATTTCTTGAGACTATACATACAATATGAGTCAATTTCTTTCGGTCCCTTCACATGCTATTGAGGTAATAACAATTCCACGGCAGAGTTGACCTTTTGTATGTATAGGTAACTGTTTACCGTTAAAGTTTTGCTTCAGTTTTATACATGAAAATTGCAGAAAATGTTTGTATATTTTAACTTTATGTGCTAAGTAAATTGTTGGCCTAACTAATATATATTAGTATTAAAATGAATATCAAAGTTTATATATCTATATATCTATCTATGATGATGATTAAAATAATATACCTTCATTGGTAGCTAAGTGGATAAAACTGCTAAACACTGATAGTTGGCTGCAGATTTGCATCTCACCAACAGTCTAGCCATATGGAATTTTCTGGGCTTTCTTCATGTGTACAGCATCTAAATAGGGGCTAGTTTCTCATAGAAAGTTCTAGGAGGCATCCTTCCCCTTTGGTACCAAGTGTTGCATTTCATATTCCATCAACTACTACTAAATTAATACACATCATAATATCATAGTATGAAACTATATGACTGCACAGTATTTGGTGCATAAAACTAGCAGCAATGCATTAGTTTTTTAGTTCATGGCACGTAAATATTTGCGAGGAGTGGGAGGTGCAAGGCATGCCTCACACCCTTGGTACTTGCCACATTGCCAATGCATTGCTACAGCTCTGATTGCAAGAGATTTTATTTAACTACTTCAAGAAAATAAATTATTTCTTTAAATTACATAATTTCAAAAATTATTTTTAGTTATTGTCTTTTAAAGTAAAAAGGAAAAGAACATGTTTAAATTTTTACTTTAGAAGACAATAAATAAAAATATTAGCTTTAGAAGACATTTTCAGATTGTTTTTTTTTTTCTGTTTTTGATTAAGAATAATTTATGAAAATGGTTTCGTTTTCAAAAGCAACATTTTAATTACATGTAATCTAAAAATCATCACAAAACAAGCATTTATATTCAAGTTTTTTAAGGTCTTGCTGTTATTTCTAAGGTTCAAAAATTAGTAATTTAAACTAGTCTATTCACTTATTCTGAAAATACTTACTAGAAAAACAGCCAAAAGAATTTATTTAATTTAAATTATATTATTCATTATTATTTGAAATATAATTGAAGTAATGCTTATTATTTTAATAAAGACAGTCACACAATTTTATTTATTTTTTCTCTTTTTTGTTTGATAATGCATGATTAAACATTATTTTCTTTTAATTATCAATCCTCATCAGTATAACATTAGTATTTTAGGATATTTCAATTTAAATATTATTTGATAGAAACATGAAGTCTGATTATAGTGCTCAAAACTTGTGTTGTATCATATATCAATTATGTTTCATTATATGTATTGCAAAATTAAAAGATTTTCATTTCTTGGTAATTTTTGTTTATAAGCTTAAATGATAGCAGTAAATTCAAATTACAAAATTATCTTCCATGTTAAGAAGTTGTTAATTATTTGACTTCTAAAAATTAAATCAGAATAATTAAAGATGATAATTATTAGATTTAGCATTATTCATTCAGTATATAGATACATTCTCTGAATTTGCAGATTAGATCACAGATGTGACATCCTTATAGTATTAGTACTGTTTAGCTGATTTAGCAATTCTATATTTAGTTATTCTACTGTAATATTTCTACCATTATATGTGNTTAGATAAAAACAGACATCGTTTCTTTGATAAATGTTGTAAACGGTACGAATCGACAAAATTACTCATTAATTAATTAACTGCTCGGAACAAAAACAACAAAATGAAATACTTTAAATTTGTTTTAAATGTTCCAATTTCGATATTCAAATGGGTGAAGACTTAAAACTACAATTAAATCAGATGCATTTATTTACAATTTGAGTATCGTGTCGGTTATAAAACGTTAATGCATTTCGGGGTCGTTGTACTGTTAAACAAACGAGACAATTTTAATAATTACAGAAATCTGTTTATAGATATAAAAATGTAATATTAATAATAAAATATTTAAAATTATTCATTTCGACAGTAATAAGATGTCGAAATAATTCCTTAAAAATCTATTCCGAAGACGAATTTCGAATTCGGTATAAATTTTCTAAATATGGATTTGTTCATATTTTAAATCGTATTGGCAACGAAATTAAATAACGAAATAGAAAAGGATTGTCATTAATTGCCGAACAATGATTTTGACGGCCTTAAGCTTTCGGAATATAGCTGACGACCATTTCTGACATCACGAAGAAATAATCCGATTGGCCGAACGACTCCTAAAACAGGGGAGTAATAGCGAAGTAAGTAAGAGCCAATGTAAACGTCGTCTAATGTAAACTCTGTCTCTGCAATCGGCCGATGAAGTCTGATTATAGTGCTCAAAACTTGTGTTGTATCATATATCAATTATGTTTCATTATATGTATTGCAAAATTAAAAGATTTTCATTTCTTGGTAATTTTTGTTTATAAGCTTAAATGATAGCAGTAAATTCAAATTACAAAATTATCTTCCATGTTAAGAAGTTGTTAATTATTTGACTTCTAAAAATTAAATCAGAATAATTAAAGATGATAATTATTAGATTTAGCATTATTCATTCAGTATATAGATACATTCTCTGAATTTGCAGATTAGATCACAGATGTGACATCCTTATAGTATTAGTACTGTTTAGCTGATTTAGCAATTCTATATTTAGTTATTCTACTGTAATATTTCTACCATTATATGTGAAAATTAACTATAAATTAATGATAATATATTTTATGATTATTTGAAAATGTATTTTACTTATAATTTCAGCAACAGTTTGTTGATGAAGTTCATGGTAGTGGAGTACTAATATATCTATCTGCAACATGGTTGGCTGAACTATACCAACAAATACTAACAATTAACCTTCTAGAAACTGCTGGTTATTCTATTTATTCCACGGAGAATTCATCACTCATCAATTTATTAACAGGTTATCTGATAACTAGAATCTTTCTTTTTCCAGATTCTTGTTATTTCTTTTTCATAAAAACTTTGAATTATTTCATTTAACTGTTTTAACAAAATATTCTCTTATGTTTAACTTATTCATTCACTGCTTACAATTTTATTTTGTACATTCCTGTTATTTTTATTCTATATATCAGGGATGGCCAACTTTTGTGTACATAAGATCTACTTTTTATCTTAAAAATGTGTTGCGATTGACTTATTGTTTTAGGCATAGTCTAAGTGTCAAGAGGGAGGTGTGAGATACATACTATGTTTAGATAGGTAAGAAAAAGTCACAATTTAATTTAAAATGTGAAGAAAAGGTACATTTTAAACAGAAGAAAAATTGAAACTCAATGTTGTCACTTTTGGGACCACTACTTCACCCTTCCTCTCTCTACTGTGTCCCGACCTACTCTCTCTGTCTCTCTTCCTGCCTTTTTTTTTTTGGTTTTATAACCCTTTGTCTACATTTCTTATTCTTTTTTTACAACTGTATGCAAATGGATTGCACATAGACTGACAAAACCACATCTGAGGGAGGACACGGAGGTCCTATATCACTACAGTTGCGTTTGCACATTATGTTCACGCGTTGTGTTTGGTTACAAGTGTAACATTAAGTCAAGACATCATGAGCGATTGACCAAAATTGGCTTCGTGATCGACTGGTCGTAAAGCCAATTTTTACAAGTCGATCGCGATCAACTTGTTGGCCATCCCTGCTATATATGTTAGTATATTAAAGAAAATGAACATATTAAATTACTAATTAAATTTATTTTTGTTACTAACCTAAAAGTAAGCCACTAAATAAAGTTCTAAACAATAATGATTTATTTTATAAATCTAATAATTACTAAGTTTCAAATTCAAAATTAAAAAAACCACTTACTGGTGTTAAAAACATAGAAAATACCTTGAATATTTTTGAATTTGTTTATCTGTCTTTAACGGTTGCAAATATTCTAAAAATTATTTTGAATTATTTGAACATTTAAAGCTATTCAAAATATTTTATATATATTTAAAAGACATTGCTACAGGACTTCTGTATAAACTGTTTTAATGGAAACACGATAACATTTCAGACTGAAAAATCTCAGTCTCAATTATTTTTGGATAAAGACTGGAGTTGTCATTGTATATATTGATTATATTGTCTTTGAAGATTACTGAGGTAAATCCATAGACTTTCAGTGATTTTTATAATTTTTGAATTGCTAATTTTTTTAAAAGTTTTGTCAAATCCCAAAATTGTAGAACTTCTAAAGTTTGAACAGTCATTATTATATTGAGACAATTTCATTGATATATCTGATGGTGACACCCTCTCTAATGTGTGGAAATGGTTATCTTTTGATAATCATGTAGCAATGCATACCTGTAACAAGGAGACTGAATTTTTTACAAGAATTATTTAAAAAAATTGAAATGATACTTCAGTATTTAAATGTGAATTTGTTTGTGCATAGCATTATTTAATTTGAATTTTATATTATCTATAATGAGATGTTTACTTTTAAATGCATTTAAATATGCCTGAAATCTAAATAGGACTATGCTAGGATTTTATTAGTATTAAGAATTACAAAGTTGAATTTTGTTGAAGATTTTAAAGGACATTTCTCAGGATATTAGGCAACATAATTCATATATAAGTAATTTTAAATTAAATTCCAAAATTTTTAAACTGACTAACAGATATTTAATATGTTTACATACAGTATGTATGGTATTACACAGATATTTGTTTTTTTCATCTGTTCAGTTTCATTTCACACATTTTTTTTCATTTATTTAGTTCTAATTCAACATAATGACATCTGTTAATTGTTATTACAAAATTTGTACTTTAATATATTTAAATAATTCTTAATTCCTTCAATAATAGTTGATATATTTCTATTTTAAAATCAAGAATTTCTATATAAGTAGTGAATTTTTTGTTAAAATTTTGACTTTATTGAAAATAATATTATTTAACTCAAACATATTTAATAACAAAATTATATACATTTATGTATACATATTTTATACATAATTTATGTGAAATTTAAGACACTTTGTTCATTCTTTCTTGATATTTTGTTTTGAAATAATATTATATTGTACTTATT